GGCATGAAAAAAGGCAGGGACATAAACAAGCTCCATAAAAAGAAGAAACATTTGGAAAAGATGCAGTGGAGGCAGTAGAGTAGTGGAAAACTAAAGATGGGGAGCCTGTTAGAGGTTGTTTGGTGTAAGGGTAGTAAATGAAACGGGAACATAAAGTAGACTGCTGGACACAGAGGAAAAAAAAGAGGATATCACATGAGAAACTGAGGTCACATCCTCAATAAGACTTGACAATTTATTGAATTGGGTGGATACGAAGGTAAAGTAATGATCAAAATATAATTTATACACAGATGGTTGGAAAGATAGTGTGCCACTAACAAAATTATGGAATATAGAAACAAAAGTTTTAGAGGAAAATGTAGGATATATTCAATTTGAGGTGACCTCCAAATGGAGAAACCTAACAGTCACGTAGGGGTAGGCACTGAGAGAAACTGAAATTGAAAGTATATGCCTAGTAATTTTCTACATAGAGGGCGCCACTTAAGGTCATGAAATTACTAAGGGAGGAGAAGAAAGGCAAGCCCAGGAAAGAAACTTGAAGGACATTTTTATTTAGAAGAGAAAGTAAGAATGAAGGGAAAAGAACTAACACCTAGAGAAACGGGAAAGAATCAGAAGAACATGACAAAGAAAAATTTTTATACCTCACTTAATCAACAAATATGTATCAGATGACAATGATGTGCCAAGCACTGTGCTAGGAGAAGTTTAGGATTCCACAGGAATCTATAACTGGAGTCATTAGGAAACCTTTCCCCAAAAACAGCATTTAAGCTGAGATGTGATGTATGGGAAGTTGGGGCAGGGACAGGAGAGGATGGTGCCAATGGGAACATCCCTAGCAAAGAAAAACATGTGAGGAAACCCCAAGAGCATGACAAGTTTGATAAATGAAAAGTAATTCACTTTGGAGGGGTGAGGAATGGAACTGGAGGGGAGATGTAGAAAAATATATTCAGGTATTTATTGATCTTGTTGACAATTTTAGTCTTCAGGTAAAAACAATGTAGTTCAATTGAAAGCTCTGGACTGTGCAATGGGCTGGGGTCAGTGGGCAGTGGACTGTGG